CCCTAAGAACTGCTTTCTTGAAGAGTCTCTGGGAAAGACTGCAAATCATAATTACATCAAGGAAGGATTAAAGGGAATTAAAAGTAGAGTTCATGTCAATTCGATAAGTATTTACCAAATACTTACTGTGTCCTCATTACCATGGGTGACACAAAGGGCCATTCACGATCTTCAGGGAAACAGGGTAATAAATGAGTTGAAACAAAATTGGCAGAAATGCCATTCGGGTTGAATTTATTTTTTTCATTTTTCCCAGCCACTGGATTTCCATCTGTTGACAATTTTCACATCTCTGAGTCTTAAATCTTTGCTTAAATCAATAATCATTTTCATCCATGTTTCATAGTTTAGGGTATTTTAGTAATTTTTTTTAATGACATCAATGATGGTTTTCTAATAGTATGTGCATTTTTGCACTTTTGTTATTTGTGGCTGAGAGTAAATATTTTAAGTCTTTCTTGATTATTTCTATTTGCTTTTTGACATTAACATTAACATTTTAATAGTTGTTTTCTAAAATAAAATTGATTGACAATAAAAATCCTCACTCCCTAAATCAGGAATGTATAACTTTGTGGTACCAACCAGTGATTTAAATGTTACAAGTTTGTTTTTAATCATGTTTTCCTATTTGCCAAGTCATTTTGCTTTAAAAATTTTTAAATACACTTTAATACTTTGAGGCCTACTTACGTTTTTTTTTTCTTTGGCCAAAAACCTATTTTTTTTTTTTTTTTGTATCATTAATATAAAATTACATGAGCAACATTGTGGTTACTAGATATTCCCCCCATTATCAAGTCCCCACCACATACCCCATTACAGTCACTGGTCCATCAGTGTAGTAAGATGCTATAGAGTCACTACTTGTCTTCTGCGTGTTATACTGCCTTTCTTGTGCCCCCCCACCCCACGTTATGTGTGCTAATAGTGATGCCCCTTTTCCCCTTATCCCTCCCTTCCCAGCCATCCTCCCCAGTCCCTTTCCCTTTGGCAACTGTTAGCCCATTCTTGGGTTCTGTGAGTCTGCTGCTGTTTTGTTCCTTCAGTTTTTTCTTTGTTCTTGAACTCCAGAGATGAGTGAAATCATTTGATACTTGTCTTTCTCCGCCTGGCTTATTTCACTGAGCGTAATACCCTCTAGCTCCATCCATGTTGTTGCAAATGGTAGGATTTGTTTTCTACTTATGGCTGAATAATATTCCATTGTGTATATGTACCACATCTTCTTTATCCATTCATCTACTGATGGACATTTAGCTTGCTTCCATTTCTTGGCTATTGTAAATAGTGCTGCAATAAACATAGGGGTGCATATGTCTTTTTCAAACTGGGATCCTACATTCTCAGGGTAAATTCCTAGGAGTGGAATTCCTGGGTCAAATGGTATTTTTATTTTTAGTGTTTTGAAGAACCTCCATACTGCTTCCCACAGTGGTTGACCTACTTTACATTCCCACCAGCAGTGTAGGAGGGTTCCCCTTTCTCCACATTTGTTGTTTGTCTTTTGGATGTTGGCCATCCTAACTGGTGTGAGGTGATACCTTATTGTGGTTTTGATTTGCATTTCTCTGATGATTAGTGATGTGGAGCATCTTTTCATGTGCCTGTTGGCCATCTGAATTTCTTCTTTGGAGAACTGTCTGTTCATATCCTGCGCCCATTTTTTAATAGGTTATTTGCTTTTTGGGTGTTGAAGCATGTGAGTTATTTATATACCTACTTACATTTTTAGCAAAACATGGGTGCAGGGTGGGGAGAGAAGTGACTTAAAGATTTAATTTGTTGCTGATGCATTGTCTCCAAAATGTTATTTTGTCCAGTTGGTTTGTGAAGAACTTGTTGGTTATCTTCTGTTCCCAACATGCTCCAAGCTATGTAGGTTGTAGTTGGAATCTATCTAGGAGGGTATGAGGTGTTTTCCATTGAGTCATATTCATCATTTAGGTGAGCAACTATGTATTTAGCATGTCCTGGCTAAGAGTAAGACACTGCTCTAGACAGCGTGTAGACAAAGGTGAGAAAGATGCCTCCCCAGGAGAGCAGATCAAGGCCCACACGGAGGCAGGCGGTCGTGATAGAATCCGACGGCAGCCATACAGAGCCGGTGCCAGGGGGTGGCATAGTCTCTGCTGGCCCTCACACCGTGCTGTGAGATAAATACCAGTGAGGACACGCTTATAGTAAATTAACACAGCTGGGAAGGGTCAAAGAAGTGACCTAAATCCAGTTCTCCTGCCATTCCATTCCATTGTCAATTGAAACTAAGAAATTGCAAAGAATCAGGGGTGGGATAGCTGTTTTCCAAATTGTAATGTAATCATCCAGATGTTGAGGTGAAGACCAAATCTGCAGACAAGAACAAGACAGGAGACCTTTCCGTCCATCTGAGAGCCCAGGGAACCATTTGCAGAGGGAGGGAGACAGAGATTGTTGTCACTCTGCAGGCTCCCATGGGCGTGGATGGCCCAGGGCCGCTGCTGTCACCGGGTGCCCTGCACGTGCGCTCAGGTGTCACTGACAGTGATCTGAGGTAGGGCGTTACAGCTCCGCCCTCCACTCCACTGCTGTTCTCTTTGGCAGTCACTAAGTTCACATCTCCTTCGTGTCCTCTTAAAGTTAGCTTTCCTAAGTTGATGATAAAAAATGGGAGACATTTTTTTTTCTGAATTTTATCAGTTGTCTGTGTTTCCAGATATTACATTCAACTTTCCTTTGAAAGTTTTAAGATGTGGATGTTTTCTTTGCAGAAGCTCACTTGGGAAGATGCTTGTCTTCAGGAGTGTTTTTTTCCCCCTCAGAAATGTTGTAGACGGTCCAGTTCCACATTTCCTGGCAATATCATTGCACAGCAAAATTTTACGTAGTGTGTCTCCACTTTTCCTTGAATGTTTTAAATAAGCTGCGGATAATTGTGGAGCCGATCCACATGGCGGCAGTATCTTGTGATCTAGTTCCTATTTTATTGTACTTTAGTTCTGATTATGTTTCTGTACAAGTCAATTATTTATGTTATCACTATTTTTAAAAAATGGTTTCTTGCTATTTTCAATAGAAAGTGGATAGGGAAGTCGTACAGGCTACATTTGGTTTTCGGAATGACTCATTTCTTTTCCAGTTCTGAGCCAATCGCTCACTGTGGTTCTCTTTGGCAGGTTTAAAAATATTTGCCAGGTTTACGTTAATAAAGCCTATGTTGGGGGAAACTTTATCTGGACACAATCTATAATGAATATGTACCATCTAGTAAGTATTACTAGCAGTTAATGAAAATAATAAAGGCCCTACAAAACAAACAGGGAAGAATTTATTACTTCTGAATATTCCTGGACAAGGAAGAAAATCACCAAAAGCATTTCTACCCACTTGTTCTTTCCCACCCACATGTCTTTCTCTCACCATCAATGGCAGAAATCCAGCCACGCTTCATGTTTGTCTCTGATTATAAGACCCCTGGCTCATGAGGATTGACAGGTTTCATAAAGTGAAATGTTCCTCCAAGATAGAGTTGCAACTTTTCTGCTTTAGAAAGTTATATGAAACAGTTAAATGCCAAACAGTTAAAAATGTTTTTAAATAACATTTTTTAAAGTAGACTTCCTGTCTTAGGGATAGTGACTATGGGATTAAATAATTATTTTTTATTGTAAAAGACAACAAAAATTATAGATTACACTAAACTACTTTCAATTGTATTGTCAAACAGATTTTTGTAGGCTCTTTAGAGAAATTATTTCTTGAAAACTACAACTGAGCATACTTTGACTATGTAAATAGTGATTTCATAAACATGTCAATTATGTTAAATACTTCAATTGTAGTATTTCTGTGTAGCTTAGTTTGTGCATACTTAAATAGTATCATAATAAAAATGATTTTATAAATTGCTGAAATTCCCTCCCCATTCGCTGGGAAAGTTCTTTTTTCTCAGTTTACAAAACAATGAAAACAGAAACTATCCTACTACATTATGCATAGGTATCAAAAAATACCACCCTGCACATGCAAAAAAAAAAAAAATGAATGCAACCATGAATTAATTTGATTTGTTCATTGAAAATACTTTAGTTGAAGAATCACTTTCTTAATAGATGCCTTTGGTTTTGTTGAATATGACATAATAGCAGCTGATTTACTGATGACATGCTTAATGTAATCAGAAATAGGGACACAATAGCCAACAGTCATCCACTTCATACATTCAACTTAATGGTCCTTCAGTTATGTTCAAAAGTATGTTCTGTAAATATGCAATGACATCATATTGATTAGGTTTCAAGGCAGTTGAATTAGGCAGAGAATCATAACAACAAAAAAAGTGAAAAGGCCTAGAAAGAGCAGAATCAAGGTCATCTTTTCGAAATTCAAGTGAATACAGTACTTGTATTGTCAAAACTAACAGTTGAAATTTTGTTATGAACCAGACACTATAAATGCATAAAGCCTAACAGCTTGCAGTATAAAATGGTGCATTTTTCAAAAGTCTGATAGATTAATGAATGAAATATTTAAGTCTTTAATTCAGTTGTTTATTCTTCCAGGATTGATCAGTGATATTTATCAGACAGGCCTGGTCCTGGAGGAATGAAGAATAAATATGCCACCAACATTCATGCTGTATTTCTTATACCACTTTTTCCTGTGTCTACATCTTACTGTTATCTAGCTGCTTAATCTATGAGACTGTGGAAGCTCATAATTAGAAAAATAATCTAGACATCATCTAAACACTAAGTCTAAGCAGAGCTATATTTTTCCCTCTTAACAAACTGCATTTATGTATACATCCCAAAGCATCTTTATAAGATATTAAATTGCAGGTATTAGAAAACCCAAATACATTTTCTCAGTTTAATTTGTAGGCAAACTGAAAATATATTTTTGTGCTAGGTTTGCTTATTTTAATAGTTCAAATGCAATAGTTTGTGTCATAAATTGATCTTAATAGATACCTCTCTTGAACTTTTCTTTCTTTCTCCCTTCTTCTCTGTTTCCAATAGTTTTACCCAGTCACACGTGTGGAAATCCTGGGGAAATATTGAAGGGAGTTCTCCATGGAACAAGATTCAATATAGGAGACAAAATCCGGTATAGCTGTCTCTCCGGCTACATCTTGGAGGGGCATGCGGTTCTGACCTGCATCGTGAGCCCCGAGAATGGTGCGACGTGGGACTTCCCAGCTCCGTTTTGCAGAGGTGGGTACTGTGCAGTAAGAGTGTAATGTGAATGCACACTAAGTAAATGGCTTTGGAATGGATATTATAAAAGCCCCACTTAGTGAGGACAAGCCCCAACTGGTCTTCCCATGCCAGCTCTTTCTGTTCCTAAAGGTAGCTTTATATGGTATCGAAGGAATGTGGCTGGACCCAGTAAAGTCTCCTCAAATTTTTCTTCATCCTGTTTCTCAAACTCTATGGACTTTTGCATATTTTTATCACCAGCTGTCATAACATTCTAAGATTTAATTCACATTATGACATTCTTGATTTGACAGTTGCTCTTCTTTTTCTCATTAAAAGTGATAAACAACCTTGATAATGAAATCATACCTTTTTATAGACTCTGTCAGCACTTTTAGGCCTTTGGAATGAGGTGATTATAAGGAACACACTATCTCAAGTGTTCTTCATGCTGAAAGGTTGGACTCACTTTTCCTGAAGCCTCATGATTTTTAGCCTTTTCTCTACTATTACTTTACTGACCCTGTAACTTTACAAAAGAGCATAATTTGATTCCTAGATTTTGCCTTTCCTAGGAAGAACCCATCTGAATGGTTTCCAAAACAAATGCATGGCCAACATGTGTTGAAGTTTAATGTAATGCCAGAAAACGCATGGAGGGCTTTACCTGGACCACCTCATTTAATTCCCACAGCCACCCGCAGAAGTGTTATTATTGACACTCATTTATAGGTAAAGAAGCAAAATTTTAATTTTCGAAAGGTTTCAGAGATAGTATTTATATAGACTCAACCTATGGCTGACGTTTAACCCCAGCTCACCACCAGGCATGTGTGTAATCTTGGCCGTAAGTCACTGTGAAACAGTGTATCGTTTTCATCTGTGTGATTTTATTTTCATCTCTGCTCTGTCACAAAAACTTACCTTTTACTCCTTGTTTTTCTGTGACTGGCGTAGTTCCCTGGCGCCCCTGCCCCCTGGGAATGCCTGTTTCTCCTGGAACTGAGCTGACACCCTAGTGTGGGCCAGACACTGCTTTTCACATTTAACCTTCACCAATAGGTATTTTATTAAAGATTCATTTCACAAATGAGGAATCTGCAGGCTGTGACAATAGGAAACGTGACCTGGGGAAGGCACTCCAGCCAGTCCTTGTGGGAGTTCCATGCCCCCCATGCACACCGTTCCTCTGTTCTGGGGAAATTCCTTTTCTGATACTATACTTTCTGCTGCAAATGTCCATTGCTCCTCTGGAAATGCACATTTCCCCTACATGTCTGCAGGTCACCTCTTTTTTTTCTTTTTTCTTACTGTGGGTAATTACTTTCCATCTCTGTTGTTAACAGGCGGTGCCGTCAAAATCTAGACCCACGTCACATTTCCCTTGGGAGAAGGGAGGGGCTTTCCCCCGTCGCCCCACCGGTTCTCCTAACTCTGTCCTGTATGGGGACACTGCCTCCTGGATATCCTAAACAGATCCTTTCCTCTTTACTTCCGACCTGTTTTCTTGACATGCCCGGTCACTGCATGAACTCTGGCGTCCCTCAGGCACTTGCCCTCAGCTTCTCTGTTACTGCTCCCAGACGCGTGAACCCTTCTCTCCAGCACCCAGCGCTTGGCCGGCCTGGCTGCCACTGGGCCCTGGGGACCCTGGGAGCCCAGGGACCCTGCTCTCCCGGCTCTGCCTTCCTGACCCCGCACTGGGCAGGAGTATTTACCCCTGATGAGCAAGCACTGCAGCGGAGGGTTTTTCTCCAGAGAGATCCTCACCCCCACGCCAGCCCACTCTACACTGGGGTCCATACATTTGCTCCTTTTATCCTGATGCCCACGTGCACCTCGTGTCCTGACCCCCACAATCCTAGTTCCTCGTCAGTTTCACACTGAAGCCCGAATCTGTCCTGGCTTCTCACCACCTCAGCCCCCTGCGCAGCTGCTCTAAGCAAATACAAAAGTCCTTTTGTCTACAGCATTTATCCTGTTGCTATTCTGCATTTTAACTTAATGTCTCAACAGTATTTCTTCACCTCCTTAGTAACCATGGCAGAGATAATATGCAGTCACAAACACTTTGTAACTATATTGCTGATTCCTCTACATTAAAATATAGCCCAATCAACAGCTAATTTCCCCTTCTGGTGTGGCTAATCCCCATTCAGAAACTTAATAGACATAAATAGATACACTGAATATCAAATAAGGAATTGTTATAGACTTGAAAAATACAAAAATAAATATTGATAGCAACTATGACAGCTTCTTTCTTGCTCACACTCATTGTAGGGGTTTTCCTTAAATGAAGGGTCTCTACTAATTCCACAATTATTTACCTTAGAAAGTCAAAGTTGATGTAGCAAAGAGTTTATAATCTTTCCTAGTCTGTCACCAATTTATTGAATTCCAACTCTATCATGATGCTTTTTTTCTATATTACAGATTATTAAATTTATAATAAGGCAGGTCTGGTTTAAGGGCTTGAATTTTGTGTTTTCCACTGCTTGGGCTAGTGATGTTCCAAAGGGCATTAAATTAGATATAATTATTTTATGAAACAAATTTGAAAGATGCAACTCAGTATTGATTTGGATAATTGAATCATGAAGAAAAAAATCAATGCTGTAATTCTTATAAATGTGTGGACATGGCATATCTAGGAGAGACACAAATGGATTTCAGCAGTTGTGAGCTGAGATAATTTACAAAAGTGAAAGGAGTATATTTTCTGCTTCCCCAAGTTCTAGTTATTTAATTCCAGGAATTACTTGAAGATTCTTCTTAATGGCATTCCTAGCAGTAACACCATGTCATCCTTTTACGACGACTTTTTGTTGGTGTTGAAAAATGTGCATTTAACTCCAAGTGACAGCACTTAACCTGAACAATGACCCCTAAATGTGTGTTACCATTTCTAGAGTCATGGGATGCTATTTAAAGAAAAATGATCCAACCATGTATTTAATAAGCCAAAACCTAAGAAAATAGGAAGCCAGCCAGCTCCTACTTAAAACTTCTTCCTCACACAGGAGGCCTGCGCTCAGCTGACTTCAGTCAAGCAGTGTTTAGATTGTCTTCCTCTGGAGATAGAATATTCTGGCCTCGCTCGTTTATCCCTGAGTTCTCTCCTCAGTCCGTGTCTTCCTTCATTACTCTGCATGAGTGCATACTGCACCTTTGTCTCTCCTAGTCTTCACCACGATCCGCCGTCCGTGATACACAGGCATGGTGTGTATTCAAAAGGAGAAACGCAAAGCGAACATGAGGGGAGTAGGCAGACCCGCTGACGGCCGCTCTCGGATCAGGAGTTCAGTGCCTGTTGAATGAACTTCAGGCTTCTCCGGCTTCATGATGGACTCGCACAGGCTGTGACGTGAGGGGGGGGTGGCGGTTGCCTCATGCTGCTGCACTCCAGGGTACCGGGGGGCCACAGAGCATCACGTGTGAAGGCAGGGTGTTCGCCCGGATGGAGAGGGGAGCACAGTCTGCAGGAATATGATGCGATCAGACAAGAGGTAGGAAGGAGGTGGGGCAGGAGCTGCATTTGGAAAGCACGCTTTTGTGAGAAACCTTCTATCAGTTACAGAACTCCCAGGGAGAAGTGGTCTTTCCTGACGTTGGCCCACCATGAGGTGGGAAATAGCCCTTTCATCGTGCCTTTAGGCACCATACCTCTCCAATTCTGGACCTCATTCTGTAAGTCTTAGTGGGAAGCTACATCAACTTACCTTATTCTGTGTTTATAAGCACACAGTGAATTATGCAGGCATGTGGGGATTTGAGCTCTCCCTGGGCCTGGGAAGGGTGAGGCTAGTTTATGCTGTGGGAAGATGATGGGGGCAGTTGCAAGAGGCATATGCCATCTGAAATAAGGCAGCTGTAAGCAAACAGGGTCTATTCCAGGCAGAGATCCAGTGCTCTTTCTTCCCTGAACATCACCTCTTAAATGTGCCTTAATTCTTTCTATGATGGATCACTTTTTATTTGCAATCTATGCTTCAGAAAATGATTCTTAGCACCACAGCTATTGCAGAGCTGAGATCCCCAAAGTCATAGCTCTGAACATTCCCAATTATAAGCTGTTTTAAATCACGTGTGTTTATATATTCTGGGACTCACAGATTAGCCTGTATTAACATTATGTGCACAACTCATATAAACTATCATAAAAAAGGCATCTGAAAATCATATTTATTTAATGTAAATTTGTAAATATGCTGAAGCTCATAAATGCATGACCATGTCTGTACTGCATACCACCTTGAGATGTCTGCAGGGAAATTAGTAGTAGTCTTATAATAAAGGTAAGGAAAAAGGCTTCAAATTGCGTTGACATCTCTTTTAATTTTTACCTTGGCAGTTATAACAAGCTATACTTTTGTATGTTGTACCATTATACTTTAAACTAAAATATTTTAAATCTAAGTGGCATATGTGCCCGACTAAAGAAATTGAATAATACTGCAGCAATGACCATATTAAGGCACCACCTCCTGAAACACTCATACCGTAATGGCACCTACGTTTCAATAGCATTTAACCATTTGGAATTTTTCTCATTATTATATCTGTTTAGACTGTTCCTTTTTGCTTTATCCATTTTATTTTTTTTTCTAATTATTTTGCTATGATTATTAATTCACTAATATCACTGCCATCCACAATGTCTTGTTTATTCCAATTTAATTTAGATTTCTGTACATTATCTTTATAAGTTAAAATATTATACTTGACCCTTTATGCCTCATTTCTTTAATTTTTGAATTAATTTTTAATTTGGAGACGCATCTCTTGCCTCTCTGCTTAGAAGGTGTGGATACCATTGCCTCCACTCTTTCCACTATATCTTCTAATCTTTCCCCTCCTGTGGATTCCCCCAGCTGCAGTAGAACTACTGCAGTAGTAAAACTGTTAAGATTTATATTTTATCCTATAATCATAATTAAGTCCTACTTAATTTGTCTAAAAGCTGAAAAGCAGTAAACAGCATTCATGTTATTATGCCTGTGTAAATATTGTTT